AGTCCTATAGGAAGCTCTAACACGAGTGGATCAAACCCACTCCTAAGCTCTGTTATGGGATCGACAATATCCATTGTTCCCAACATTTCTTACACTCTCCCGATAAAACTAAACCATGAGAATTATCTCCCATGGAAGGAGCAAATGATCCCTGTCCTCAGAACACAAAAGTTGTTAGGACTTGCGGAATGCACGATGCAGGCACCACCAATAGAGATTGATAGATCAGATGGTAGAAGAATGGCGAATCTAGACTATGACAATTGGGTGCAGCTTGATCAATTGGTGCTAGGATGGATTATTTTGTCACTCATTGAAAGTGTGGTGACAGAAATAATTGGACTGACCACTTCAGCCGAGGTATGGCAAGCACTCTCTACAACCTATTCCACTATATCCAGGTCGAGAGTACTCCATCTGAAATGGCAACTACAAAGCATCAAGAAGGGGTCTTAGTCCATAACTGAATATGTCAAGAAAGCCGAGGTAATAGCTGACAGTTTAGACGCAATCTCTGAACCTATAGGCAAGGATGATCTTATTCTTTATATTATTTTTGGACCTTACCATTAATGATGTAATGGGCTTGTTGTTAAATCATGAGGCTTGGTTGGAACAACACAACCAACCTATCTCTGATAATTCTCCTCCTTCAGCAAATCTGACTACACAGGGGAAAATAAGAATAATTGGAACTCCAAAAGCAATGTGAACTGTGGTGGCTACTCTTTTTACAATAGCAGAGTTTGTGGAGGTCACAACCGAGGGGGATATCCAAATCAGTCCTCCAATGGAAGAGGTAACAATGGTGGATGAGGCAGAGGAAAATTTTCACCTATCATATGTCAGGTCTGTAGCAAGCTTGGACATGGAGTACTCACCTATCAAAGATGATATGATTTAGCCTATAAAGGTGAACAATAGAGCCCATCAGAACTAGCAACATATCATATGAGTATGGGGTTAGAATTTGATCCCACATGGTACCCGGACTCAGGTGCCATACATCATCTCACTCCAAATATAGAAAATTTGTAGACTTGATCAGACTACATGAGGCAGGATCAAGTTACTATTGGTAATGGATCAAGTTTGAGGATTTTACATCTGGGGTCATTATCCTTGCAGCATAATCATCATACTTTTGCTTTACATAATATTTATCATGTGTCTCAAATTACAAAAAATTTGATTTCTGTAAGTAAATTCACTAAGGACAATGATATTTATTTTGAGTTCTATTGAGACTTCTTTCTTGTGAAGGATTATACGGGGAGAGTCCTACTTAGAAGAACCAGTAGAGATGGCCTTTACCAGTTTCCGAGAGATACTCAAGTCAACAATAAAGTAGTTACCTTTGTTGGAGAGCACACAACCTTCTTAGCATGGCATCAACGACTAAGTCGCGCTGCATTCAAAGTAGTGAGTCAAGTTATTTCTAAGTTTGGTTTGCCATGTGTGGGTCATATTAGTAAGACTGTATGTCAGTCATGTCAAAAGGGTAAGAGTCATAGGAAACATCTTCCAATTTCTTCATTTTGTTCAATGCAACAATTAGATCTTATTTATTTAGATGTGTGGGGACTAGCTCCAACTTTATCTAATAAAGGCTTCTGGTATTATATCATTTTCATTGATGATTATTCCAAATTTACTTGGTTGTATCCTCTTGTTAAGAAATCTGAAGTCATGAATGCCTTTTCGCATTTTAAATGACATGTGGAGCGATACTAAAATCAACAGCTTTCAATCTGATTGGGGAGGGGAGTTTCACACACACACACACATACTCTCTCTCTCTCTCTCCTCATTCCTAGATTCTGAAGGTATTTCACATTGACTGGCATGCCCACACACTCATGAACAAAATGGGACAGTTGAATGGAAACATCGACATATTGTTGAATCTACGCTATCTCTACTGGCCTCGTCCTCTCTTCCGTTTTCCTTCTGGACTGATATTGCACAAACTTCTGTGTACTTGATCAATAGTCTGCCTTTGTCTGTCCTCCAAGGTGGATCTCCATACAAATTGTTATTTCATTGACCTCCAGGCTACAACTTTATCAAGACTTTTGGGTGTACATGTTATCCATTATTGCGGCCATACAATTGTCATAAATTTGAATTTTGGTCTCAACAATGTATTTTTCTCGGATACAATGCTGCTTATAAGGGTTACAGGTGCTTTTCATGTTGCCTGTGGCAAGGAGTACATCAGTTGGCATATTGTTTTCGATGAGGCCTATTTTCCCAATATCTCCCAATCCTCTATTTTTCGTGAAAATACTGATGGTGTCTCTTCTTCCACAGGTGGAGTAGCCAGCCCATTTACATGCCCCACACTCGGTACTCTATCCAATTCCATGATGAATGCTGCATCTCCTCCCTCTTCAGTCACCTCTATAGTTGCCAAGGCTACTATGTCACCATCTGACTTTCCAATCCAATCATCCAATTCTACTGCTACAAAATCTACCTCTAGTCCATCGTCCACTTCAGGCCCACCACAATGCACTAGACTAGTTCAAGAGTTACTTGACTCTACTCCAGCTGTTCCAGCTCCTGCTCCACAACGCACCCACACTATGGTCACAAGATCGATGAGTTATGCAGCCTCCCTTGCAAAGATGACTTCTCAGTACCCCATTCTAGTTGCTTTCCTTTCCGAGGTCAGTCTGGATCAATGTGAACCCACCACATACTCTATTGTAGCCAAGAATTCTCTATAGCAACATGCTATGCACCAAGAATATTGTGCTCTTATTGACAACAATACCTGTCATCTTATTCCTTATCAACCGAGGATGAATGTGATGGGCACCAAATGGATTTACAAAATTAAACGTAAATCTGATGGGACCATAGAATGTCACAAGGCACGCATTGTAGTCAAGGTTTCAATCAAGTGCTGGGACTTGATTTTTTTGATACTTTTAGTCCGATGGTTAAACCAGTCACGGTGCATACAATCATTGCTTTAGCAGTCTCACATGGATGGATATATGCCAACTTGATATCAATAATGCATTTTTAAATGGCTTTGTGGACGAAGACATCTATGTGAGACAACCCAGAGGGTTCGAAGACCCATCCAAGCCTACACATGTTTGTAAACTGCGCAAGGCATTGTATGGTTTACGCCAAGCTCCACGTGCCTAGTTCTCTTGGTTGAGTGAAGCACTTATCAATCTTGGCTTTTGGTTCTCTTAGACTGATCCCTCTATGTTTATCTATCAACGGGGTTAGGTAACCATATTTATTCTTGCTTATGCTGATGACATCTTGGTCACCGGGTCTTCTTCTCAAGCTGTTCTCAAGTCATTGCGTCACTTTTGCACACCTTTAACCTAAATGATTTGGCTCACCTACACTTGTTTCTGGGCATCGAAACTTATTGTACATCTACTGAGATGATGTTATCTTAGCGTTGTTATATTTTAGATCTCCTATGGTGTAATGGGATGGCTGGCGCTAAACCCATCTCTTCTCCTATGTCAACATCTTGCAAGTTGTCATCACTTCAGGGTGTTGCATTTCCGGACCCAGCAGAATATAGGAGCATACTTGGAGCACTACAATATGTTTCACTTACTAGTCTCCGTCAACAACGTTTGTCGTTTTCTTCATGCTCCCACTGATCCTCACTATATGTGAAACAGACCCATCGCTATCTTAAGAGTACATTGGATATTGGTCTTCGTTTTACTCTGGCATCATTTCTTTAGTTACATGCTTTGAGTGATGCCGACTGGGCCGGATGTCCAGACGATCGTAAATCTACTCGTGGGTACTATGTGTACTTGGGATCCTACCTCATCGCATGCAGTGCCAAGAAACAAGCTACTGTAGCTCGCTCCAGCACTGAAGCTGAATTCAGAGCACTAGCCAACTCGATAATAGAACTATATGGATTCAATCCCTCTTGACTGATATAGGATTTTCCTCGAAGATGCCTCCGATAGCCTGGTGTGACAATGTCGGTGCAACACACTTGGCTGCTCATCTATTGTTTCGAGCACACTCCAAACATTCAGAAGTTGGCTTTCACTTCTTATGTGATTTAATTCTCAAAAAGAAGCTCACAAAAGCCTTACCGATTCCATGAGTTTTTCATCTCCGATCCAAGCTACACGTTTTGAGGATAATGATAAAGATATGTAACTCAGTTAAATACGTATCAGAAGCATGTATATCACATTAGCAGATACCATAGTTATCTGTACATTCTCACCTCCTGTAGAACTTTATTTCACATATAACTGAATACAGTATAAATACAACACGAGCTGATGCTTGGTTCTGATGGTTCACCACTCAATTACCTCTTTCAATTCTGTTCTTTGGCTTTGTTACTGTTTCGCAACTCTCCCCCCATCAAGAAACAAAGAGCTTGTATATATAAGATCCAGTAGTCATAACAAAATTGGTTTCTCGCATCCCTTCGCATACAGGCATATTATTTGAAGTTGTTTAAAAGTGATGGCAAAGGCAAAGGCAGCCTAGTGAATTATTTAGAATCCCAGAGCAGATAATTTACGGTGTGTGCTGAGCGCTGTACGCGCAAGAGCTGAAATTGGGAGAAGACAACCCCTTACATACCAGGACTCAGGAGAAGGTAATCAATAATATGTGTAGTAGATAAATTAGACTCCAGAACCCCCACTGCATGGCTTATTAGTTGTTCTTACATTTATTGCAGAACCCGTTCTGAATGTTTCTGACATCATATACAGTGCATTATTATTAACGCTTGAAGCCAGTATTAATGGCTTCAGCGACTTACAGATTGGAAATACATTGTAGTTCAAGCACGGTTCAAAACACACACAAGCACAGAGAGTACTCTTAATTAATCAAGTTATTTGGAGTCATCAGAAAAAAAAAAAAGAAGAAATGAAGAGTGAATGAAATTATATGAAGAAGACAAATGAAGAGTGAATAAAATATTTTAAACTGGTGGTTTAATTTCATATTCCCTTTTTAAATTAACAAGATAATTATCACTAAACACTTCACATTAATTGGAATTTATGGGTAATAATCACATGGCCAAGCTGTGACTTCATACTTGAAGAGATAATAAGGGGTAAATAAAAACAATCAAAAAGAAAAGGAAAACCCTGCCAATCTCAAGTACCTTGTAATTTTTTCTTTTTTTTTTCTTCTTATCTTTCAATAAATAGATCGATATCATGATCGGGATGTTTCTACTTTAATTTCTAGGCTTCTTTTACTTAATCCCTCTTATGCATACCCTATCGTCTCTCCTGTGGCTCTAAACTTAACCACTTGACGATTTTTTCCAAATTTCTTCAAGTTCCCTAGCAAAAGTCTTCTGTCTACCGATAACAATGGTGAGGTGATCCTTCCGGTCGATCACCTTAACATCAGCTCGGGGAATCCTTGATTGAACGGCGTAGCTACACTCAACTGGGAGAAGCTCATCGTCTCTTCCATGGAATACCGTGACGTCGCATCGTAGCTGATCCCGGACGGCATCCAAATATTCATCAACCTTGCCGGCGGTGCCACAGATGATATTATGCAACGTATGCCATGCGGCATTATGGGTATGGCAAAAGAACCCATCAAACATGAATGTTCTCATCCTGTCAAATTTTCACACACCTCTTTTCCATGTTAATCAATGAAATAAAAATTACACAAGACAAAAAACAAAGAAGCCTCCATCTACACAAAGACATATACAGAGTTACAGACCATCCACAAAAGTTGATGACCATAAAAGCAGACGGAGCGAAATAGGAAACCCAATTTATTTCCAACTTGGCAAAATTGGAATCTGCTGTCCTGATCAGCTTCTGGTCATCTATCACTCTTTATCAAGGGTGTTACATTACCAATTAATTACTAACCCAACCGTATTTAATCACAATCCAAAGTGTACGATCATGAACATTTCAAATGGGGCATATTCATTATATCAATACCGTTCAAGAAATTGTTGAACACATCACTTTGCAAGAAAAGACTACCATTCAAACCAAAGAAGTATATGAAAATATATTATATAGTGGGAAACTTCCTGGATGATGCATATATTCATTCTTCTTTTTTAAAAAAGTGCCCTTGGGCGATTCCATTCATTCTCAAAATTTAAAACCTGCAGACACAGACAGTGTCTTTACTCTATAACAAATCACATCCTTTTAATTAGCTATCCGATGTTTAATATCATAATATATGTTAATTGTGCTAAGCTCCATTAAAGAGTTTCTCCTAGCTAGCACTTCTTGAGTATATAATTATTGATCAACAGTGAAGGATGAGAAAGTAATTCAAGTCCCATGTGTGGTGTACGTTAAGATGCTTCATCAAATCGCTTATTTAATTCATTCTCAGGTTGAATTAATTAGGCATCTACTTCCAAGCAATTCTCCCCAGCCCACATCCCCCTAGTATTTATAAGCCAATTTAATTGAAAAATGTAAAATTTCAAGCTCCAAGTATTAATTCGAGTTGGGATTTGAGACCCGTGAGACGTACGTGAGAGAATCCAAAAATTGGCAATTAATCTAATAAAGACCACCACTTTAGTAAGTAGAAGAAGCAAGGTGTAATTAAGTGAGTTTTAATTTCAAAGTTGGGTTACCTGTTTCTGGTGACAAGTTTGGTGAGCGATTCCCAGAAGTGGTGGTTCTTGCAGACGATTAGGCAAGCGGTCCGGCTAATATGTTCGTACCAACAAACAATCGAAGAACCGAATACTATCAACGGCCATACCCGCCGGGGTGCCACCTTTCTCAGCACATACCGGTTCGCTTGTTCTCCCTTCGGTACCGGAAAATATGGCTGCGTCGTTTTTTTTCCGTCACCATGGGTTTAATTTAATATTCGTATTTCATTATTTGAAAACAAAAGGAAAAAATAGGGATTTAGAAACATACCGGGGCAAGTAACGTCAAGGACTTGACAGCTCCGGGATATTTAACGGCGATGGCGAGAGCTAGAATGCAGCCCAGGGAGTGAGCCACTATGTGGAATGACTTCACCTTGTACGCTTCCAGCACTGACCGTTCGATCATTTCTACGTGCTCTCTTAGAGTGTAGAGGGAATCCGTTGGCTTGGGACTCCTTCCAAACCCCAGAAGATCTATGGCGATCAACCGATACGAGGACTTCGTGTCGTCCGAAAAGTTGGGAAACAGTGTTTCAGTCCAAAATACAGAAGATGAGATGAAGCCATGAATGAACAACACGTCTTCTCGCGCCTTGTCTTCTGATGTTATCTCAAACCCAGAAACGGAAAACACGTAATTAAAACATACAGGGAAAACGTGTATCAACCGTCATTTCCTTTTCTTTTCAAAAAGCCGCCATTAACATACATACCTCTGCTTGGTCCTTCGACTCGGACGTATAACGTCTCTTTGCAGGAAGAGCTCCAGGAAGTGCACGCCCTGCAGTCACAGTCGGACCACCGAGGGACAGGATGCAACTGCTGGCCTCCGATCTTCTCTTGTAACATATCTACAATGGTGGAGTTAATCGTGAATGTCGACCTCAGGGTTCCATTCTTGATCCTCTCGGAGGACCGGATCGTCGTGCCGTCAATCTTGAGCCGCTTCAGCTCCTTTATCGTCGATTTAGAGATCTCCGACACCAAAGAAGGACGCGAGTAGAGGGTGTCTGAGATGTCCTCCAACTGAAGCTTAGTCGAACTAAGGGAAATGATCTTCGACTCTCCGCGTTCGGAGACCAAGATCTTACCGCTGCTCGTAATGGCTTCCTTGCCCGACGAGCAGTAGCACGGTTTCCATTCGGCTTCCATGAAGAAATCAAGAATCTTGTAAACAAAACAGAGGAGGACATCAAGAAGGTCGAGAAAACAGAAGACAATGAAGCTCACTACGTCGTTGATCACCCTCCCTGTTAACACTAACAAGGATCTCGTCGCTCCCCTAATATCCATTTCACAGACCCACCACCTCAAACACTCAGTACAAGATTAACTGAAGAAGATGAAGAAACCTTCACTCTCTGTCTTTGGAGAGCAAATTACAAAAAAAAAAAAAAATTGTGGGTGATGGGGGAGAGATTGGCTTACAAAACGGTATAAGGCAAATTGCTCCTTGGCCTGCCTACTATTACTTGCAATATCTTTCAAGAGGAAGCGACAAAATAATGCCTTTCTGTTCAGTTACCCTTCCTCTCTTCCTCAACCCCAAAGACTAATAAGAGAGAAGCCGGTATTTAGTTCTTGGGTCTCTCTGCAGACCGGCCATAGAGATAAAACAACCATACACACACTCCTTTTGTTTCACAAAAAAATGGAAGTTCCGGCCCGGGAAAGCGTGTGTGAGAGAGCTGGTCTTAAAAATGTGGGAGTGTGTGTGTGAGAGTGTGGAGAGAGAGAGAGAGGGAGAGGAAGATGGTGCATACACAAAAGAGAAAGGGCTTGACTTGACACGTACTAACAAGTAGCAGAACAATGAATTCATTGTTCATTAAAACCGTTTGTTGGCCAAGGCGGAGGAGTAGGTGGTGGTTGAACCTCCAGGAGACGAAACAATTCTGTCTCGCAACTACAAGGCTAGATTTCTAATATTTCTTCAGTCAAATATTAACAAAACATTTTTTTTCTTTTTATTAATTCAAGACTTCAAGTCACCTTTATTCACCTTTCACTGACCCTAGGCTACTACTGGAAGCTCGTTTATTCCAAGTGACAGCATCAGTACTTCTAGACTTGTAGTGTTACCGTAATGGAAGCTAGCCTAGCTAAGTTGATGTATGTATATATCCAAAGTCCAAAATTTTGTTTGTGGAAAGCAAGCATTGATGGTGATGAGGCCCCTGTCCCCAAACCTCTCTTAAGTATTTATTACATGCTACATGGGGCACATGACTCCCGTTCCCTTAGGCTCAGTTTCGAAGGAGTACAAATATAAATATGCAGAGTACCAAACTTTATATTTTGTATTATGTTTGGAAGGAGCCACGCTCTCCCCAGTCTCCACCACCTCTGACCTCTTATAAATGTGGAAATGCATTATGTTTGGTAGCATAAAGAAATTAGGGAAAGAAGAAGGAAACAGAGAAAAGGGGATGGTTTTTTTTTTAATCTTTAATTGATAACACAACAATAGGGTTTGGAACCCGGAGTTAGTCCTTTACTTATGTCCAATATCAAGATGATCTATCACGCACCCAAAAAAAAGTTCATCATCAGTGGCTCAGTGCACCTTTCATTGTCCCTGTCAAGGTGATCTAAACCTAAAAAAACTCATGATCATTGAGGGAATTTTACACATCCTAGAGATAATCAGAGCCTGTTTGGGAAAAGGCTTAAACTTTGATTGAGCTGTATTGACTAAGCCGCATTGAAAAACCTACTAAAACTAGTTTTACTGAAAAGCCGATTTATGAACCGAACAAAAGTCTAGTTTCTAGGTTTTTTATGGGGCCCATCTTACAGAGCTAGAAGACACTGCATGAAAACCCTCGTAAAGGGGCGCTTACTCTTTTTTTTTTTTTTATACATAATAAATTAAGGATGGAGTGACGGGAAGGCACTTACTTTTTACTTTGAGTGACATGGTTTTGATTTTAAGGATGATTGAGATCTCTAATACATGATACATCAAGCAGTTAAGATCACCCGGTCCTCAGACTTTTGTGAATTTCCCCATTTTTCGTACATATACATGCTCAGACCCGGAAAAAATTAGGGTTTCGTATTTAGTTACCTGAATTTGAGAGTAATCTAATCCGACCCAGTTGAGAAAAAATTGGGTTGGCATGGGTCAACCGATTGACCTGATTGTCACGTTTAATTAAGGCTATTTATGCATCATTTGAGGTTTCTACTTTTTAATCTTTACTATTTAGTCTTTACCCTTATTGTTTATTCTATGAATTGTTGCATATTAAAGCCTTTTATTTTATGTTTAGAATTTTAAGGTTAATTTCTTTAATTCTGGCATTTTTCATGTATTTTTCTTTATTTTTTAAGATTCCGAATTTTCTGCCCACACAAACTCTGCCCACGTCTACCCATATAACATCGCAGCCACACATGGAGAACATCTCATTCTCCTACATGATATTATGCAGGGGGAGATGTTCCCAATTCACGGGGATAGTGTGTTGTGAGTAGATGTCGGTAGAGTTATCATGGGCAGGTGATCCGACGTCATTTTTTAAATAATTATTTTTAGGGATGACCCAAATTGACCCATGGGGTCTAGCATTTGCTGACCCAACCTGATGTATCTTGACCTAACCCAAACCCAACCCACCACACCCAATTGCCAAGTCTAATGCTACATCGGGCTGACAAAAGTTAGCCCCCGAAGTGTGGAGTCACGTAGAGATTTCAGCAGCGATAGCTAGTTCTGTATCTTGTCATGGGATATATTATTAATAAAACGTGAAAAAGTAGAGAAATAATATGGGAATAATCCTATTTCAATTACAAGGTTTTTTTTTCCTAAATTCACGCAAAAATTTTGAAAAATGACAATCAATAAAAACATTATAAATTTTTTATCCTTTTCTGCTTAGATTTATTTCAACAAATTTGCCATGTTGATTTATTTTTTATTTTTTATTTTGGAAACCCTATATACTCCAGTTCTAGAGTATGACATCTGAATGTGCAATAATTACATTAAGAGATATATTGGTATTAGTGAACTTTTATTTCCTCCGAACTCTGAATGCAAAGAATGTTGTTATGAATTCTGAATTCTATATTCTGAAAATGATCAAATATCCATTTTGACCCCATATATGAGAATTTTTGTTTGTCTTTTTGGGGGTATCATTGGAAAACAAAAAATTGTATGATTGCACTTTAAAAGATAAGAGATAAGAGGAAATGAACAACCAATTTTCTCTTAAAGTTAAAAGATTCCTCTTAAGAGTTAAGAGGAAATGAACAAACCCTAAGTGTTAAATTCATATATTGCCTGATTTGATTCGAATTCGATCCATTTACACCCCTATGTGTAATGGCTTTGCATGTTAGGCATCATAAAGTGGGAGGCAATTAAGGCATGGCTTACATGCTAACTATTAAGCATTACCTTGCCATAAATGCACCAAGGAGGGCTCATCCAAGGTCGTAATACCCATAGTAAAGCTCCACATTGACTTCGATAGGAAAGGACGATGATGCCCTTCGAGGTCCTTATGAGATGATGAGAATATCCTCTAGGGGTGCTACGTGTCGTCTGTTGATGGCGTGGTCAATATTACTTGTATCAAATAGTACAAAGTTTATCAATGAATAATCACAATTTCCCATATATATCGCCTTTAACCTACATATTGACATGATTTTCCTTCACAACAATATCATGAGTATTCTTATATCAACACTCAAATTCAATTCGATTTTCGACAAATATTGAAAATTAACGTTCAAATTCAAATTTGATTAAATATTTGAATATTCATTTTGATTTGAATTTGACCAATTAATTGTTTTAGGTAATTAATAAATAAATTAAATGAATATTTTATTTATATATAATATATAAATATATAAATTATTTATATAATTTAATTATCATTATATATAAATTATATAAAATATTTAAATAATTTTATATATTACATATAAGAATTAAATAATTAATGAAATTCAGATATTTATCGAATTGAATCAAATCATATCTGAATTTGAATCCGGTTAACTAATTGGTATGAATAGAATATCTAAATTTGATTGATTATAATATTGAAATTATTTGAATTCGATGTGATTGATTTTCAAATACCATTGATTCCCGTAGTTACACAGCACCCACCTGGCTCACACCAGGGTGACGCCGAATATATAAGTGGCTCAATGGCCTCAGTTAACTTGACCGTCCCTAGCACTACATTCCCAGCACTCTGACATCTTTTGACTGTTCGCAAGCGGATCTTCGACCTCATCATGAGGAAGTGATGAAGCTACCGATTATTAAAATTTTGATTAATACCAAATCTGTACTAGAAATAACTTGTAAATAATGACATAATGTTTTAAATTTGTTTTGAAATTGAAAGAAAAGGAAAAAAGAATCAACTGAATATATGATATATTGTTTCTTCTAGAAGCAACAATGTTTGTCATTCAGGGTGTGATAGATTTGAAAGAAAAGGTAGGGAAATTTATACATTTTCCTACCTTTTCTTTCAAACCAAACACAACCATATTATTGTTTCTTTTTAATTCTATGTGAAGGGCGGCGGGCGGAGGACATATATAGCCCCTTGCCCCAAACCCAGATGGCATGGTGTGGTGAAAATCTGTTATGCTTCATGTGGATTTTCATCTAACAAAAGTCCAACCTGCTTTGTGAAGCATGCTCAGTCTTCCTTCACCATGCCTTTTCGTTAGTTAAGATTGACGTTTCTTCACCATGGAGATCGAGCATGCTCAATAATGTTCTCTTAAAATCCCAAAATGTCAGAATGTTTCATAAAAAATCTGAAATTTCAATCATTAATTTTGCCTAAAAGTTGGGATATTATATGCTAAATTAAAAATAACAGTATAAGGTACTATAAAATATTAATGAAAAAATAATAAAAATCTATAAAAATAAAAAAGCTTTAATCTAAATTAAAATATTTTGAAAATTTTCACCACGCAGACCTCGCAACTCATTAGTCATAAGGACATTGTAACATTCATTTTATCTTGGGACATTTGACTAGGCCTATCAATGATTCGACATTCTGACATATTTATATAATCTGATCAGATTTGGATTTGACTCCATCCATTAAAATCTGAATCCAATTATATTATAATATTTATTGATTTTAATATATAGATTTTATATAATTATATTTAAATTTATAGATTTTTTTTTTGTATATTATATTTTATATGAATTTAAATATATGTTATAATAGATTCAGTATGTTATATTTACATAAATTATTATATATAAAAGTTAAAAAGTAACTAACGTTTTATCTTTTTTTTTTTATATATATTTTAAAAACTTAAAGTAGAACCAGATTAAATCCAAATCTGACCCGAATCTATTAGGATTCGAATTTAAAGTCTATGTCACCAAATCTGATCAGATTTTAGATTGAATTTAGATGCAAATTTTCAATAATCAGATAAGATCTAGATTTTACTGAATCTAATCAAAATTCGGTCCGTTTACAGCCTAATATATGACTCCTATTGTAAGCGTTTACCTTGAAAATCAAAGAAGCTATACCAATTAATCTTTTGAGTTTTGACAGAAAACTGATGCCATTGTAGGAGCTTTATATCCATATTACGAGTCATGAGACAAATCTTTCATTAACTGCTCCATAAGCCATCTTTTTGGATACGATGATATTAGGATGGATGGTAAAAGGAGGATCCGGATAAAGATGAGCCCTTGCAAAGAAAAAAGACCCGGCCAACATGGTCTCTTACTACTATTCCAATTGAAGCTATCTCCCTTTTTTATTGCCGCATCGATATCAACATTGATTTTGATGTAATCGTTAGGTGGTCTGCTCCTTATCTAAATGCTGGTCGATGATGCCTCAATAGTAGTTGTGTTACTTGACGAATGTATG